GCCTCCAACCTAATAGCAATGGCCTCCAACCTAATAGCAATGGCCTCCAACCTCATGGCCATGGCCTCCAACCTAATAGCAATGGCCTCCAACCTACTAACAACTGCCTCCAACCTACTAGCAATGGCCTCCAACCTAATAACAATGGCCTCCAACCTAATGGCACTGGCCTCCAACCTAATAGCAATAGCCTCCAACGTAATAGCAATGGCCTCCAACCTAGTAGCAACGGCCTCCAACCAAATAGCAATGGCCTCCAACCTAGTAGCAATGGCCTGCAACCTAATAGCAATGGCCTCCAACCTCATGGCAATGGCCTCCAACCCAATAGCAATGGCCTCCAACCTACTAGCAACGGCCTCCAACCTAATAGCAATGGCCTCCAACCCAATAGCAAGGGCCTTCAACCTAATGGCAATGGCCTCCAACCTAATGGCAATGGCCTCCAACCTAATGGCATTGGCCTCCAACCTAGTAGCAATGGCCTCCAACCTACTAGCAATCGCTTCCAGCCTAATAGCAATGGCCTCCAACCTATTAGCAATGGCCTCCAACCTAATAGCAATGGCCCTGGCCTCCAACCTAATGGCGATGGCCGTGAACAAGGGGTTCAATCCTGCATGGAAGAAACACCACAAAATAGCAACATAACAAACATATTTAAACACACTAAAGGGCATTTCGTTACGTTTGGTGGTGATTTCGTTACGTTTGGTGGTTGACTGGGTTGTTGATCTGGGTGTGTTTGTGCTTGTGACTAACGCAGCCTTCACAATGCTCAAGGCATGTGCGAGGAAAGAAAAATGTTTTTTTTGAGTGTGAAAAGGAGGCTTCCGAAGGAAGAGCCTGAGGTTGCTCCAGCAAAAGGCAAAGCAAAGCCTTTGAAGCCTCTACTCGATGGCAGTGCATCAAAGAATGATCGTATTCAGTTTTTGCGATCCATTGTTGGTGAGAAAGCCTCTTCTTCAAGGGGGGACCCATTGCAGACTGTAACCAAGAGGGAGGAGAGTGCTGAGCCTGTTGTGGAGATTTACGTGGAGTTTTCGCTCGCCTCCTTGCATCAGTTTGCTACTCGCAACATGCTAGCTGGTGGTGGCTCACGGGCTGCTGCGAAACCGAGAATTCGACCCAACTATGACAACCGGCTTCGTAGATTGAACAAAAAGCTCTCTTCCCGGATTGCGCACCTAATCAAATATATATTGAACATTGTTTGTTCTGGAGTTTGATTGGTTTGGGGTAAAGACTCAGAATAGAAAATATAGTAGAATGCAACACAGTTATAATCCCAAACCAAGAAAAAACCAAGGCACTGCACAAATGGGAAAAGCTGGAAAAGGATTGGACGTCTTTTTGCAAAGCCGTGCCCATGCGACAGAGGATGTTTCCAGGAGTTTCAGAAGACTTCAACTGATGTCAATGAGTATATCAAGGTGTTCTGG